AAGTCGACAAAATTATACTGAACTAAATTTTGGTGGCAATCTGTGAACAGTTTTAATACAACTACAATATTTTTTTTGAACAGAGCTGAAATAAATTTGATTTGTACATTTATTTTATAATGTGCTTTTCATTTATGTAACATCGCCTCTCTTTAGTGTGATACCAATTGGATCATGTTGGAAGGAACTGCATACACGGACATGTTACAATTGGTGTTTGTGGAAGATAATGGCTACATTTGTCTTATTGTGTACACGTATTTTACCGCAGAAATCATACAATATTTGTCCAATTTTTGGAATCATTACACTCATTCCAGGTGATGTGCCACATCAGAATTTATATTTAACAGAAGTTGAGTAACATCAGCCATATCACCCAGTGTGCTGCCCTCTAACAACAGCCATATCACCCAGTGTGCTGCCAGCTAATATCACCCAGTGTGCTGCCCTCTAACATCAGCCATATGGCCCTGTGTGCTGCCCTCTATCATTAGCCATAACACCCAGTATCCTCGGGGGCGGAGCTACGTCACAGACGTTCCACGTTGCTAAGACGCGCACCACTGTGCCATGCATTTCTATGGGCTCTGTGCGCGCTGCTGTGGAACGCCAGTCGAGCCGGTGAAAATTCGAGAAAACAACACAAACTCAACTTTGAAGTAATCCTGAACAACCAAATTTATATATGTTACACATGTAGGGCTAATCTTGTTGCACTGTTCAGAGGAGTCTCAACAATCACCCCAAAGTACCGTTTTCTGCGAGTTTTGGGCCTTTGTTTTCACTGCCATGGGTTGCCAGGCGGTGAAAATGCCCGGATGTCCGCCCCCGAGGATACTGCCATATAACATCAGCCATAGAAATCAGTGTGCTGCCCTCTAACAACATCCATATCACTCAGTGTGCTGCCAACTAACCTTTACCATATCACCCAGTGTGCTGCCCTCTAACATCAGCCATATCACCCAGTGTGCTGCCAGCTAAGATCACCCAGTGTGCTGCCCTCTAACATCTGCCATATCACCCAGTGTGCTTCCCCCTAACATCAGCCATACACCCAGTGTACTGCCCTCTATCATTAGCCATAACACCCAGTATACTGCCATATAACATCTGCCATATCACCCAGTGTGCTGCCCTCTAACATCATTCATACCACCCAGTGTGCTGCCCTCTAACAACAGCCATATCACCCAGTGTGCTTCCCCCTAACATCAGCCATAACACCGAGTATACTGCCCTCTAACATCAGCCATATCATGCAGTGTGATGCCCTCTAACATCAGCCATATCACCCAGTGTGCTGCCATCTATCACCAACCATATCACTCGGTGTATTGTCATATAATTTTAGCCATATCACCGAGTGTGCTGTCCTCTAACATCAGTAATACCACCAAATATGCTGCCATCTAACATCAGTCATACCACCCACTGTGCTACCCTCTAACATGAGCCATATCACCCAGTGTGCTGTCATCTAAGATCAGTCATATCACCCGCATACTGCCCTCTGACATCAACAATATTACCCAGAAAGCTGCCATCTAACATCAGTCATATCGCCAACCATATGCTGCCCTCTATCATCAGCAATAACACCAAGTATACTGCCATTTAACATCAGCCATATAACCCAGTGTGCTGCCATTAATCACCAGCCATAACATCCAGTATACTGCCATACAACATCAGCCATATCACCCAGTGTGCTGCCAGCTAAGATCAGTCATATCATCCGCAGGCTGCCCTCTAATATCAACAATATCACCCATTGTGCTGTCATCTAAGATCAGTCATATCACCCGCGTGCTGCCCTCTAACATCAACAATATCACCCAGAAAGCTGCCATCTAACATCAGCCATATCACCCATTGTGCTGTCATCTAAGATCAGCCATATCACCCATTGTGCTGCCCTCTAACATTAGCCATACCACCCAATGTGCTGCCATCTAACATCAGTCATATCACCCATTGTGCTACCCTCTAACATCAGCCATACCACCCAGTATCATGCCCTCTAAGACCAGCCATATCACCCAGTGTGCTACCCTCTAACATCAGCCATATCACCCAGTGTGCTGCCCTCTAACATCAGCCATATCATCCAGTGTGTTGCCATCTAACATCAGTCATATCACCGAGTGTGCTGTCCTCTAACATCAGCCATATCACCCATTGTGCTATCATCTAAGATCAGTCATATCACCTGCGTGCTGCCCTCTAACATCAACAATATCACCCAGAAAGCTGCCATCTAACTTCAGTCATATCACCCAGTGTGCTACCCTCTAACATCAGCCATATCACCCATTGTGCTGTCATCTAAGATCAGTCATATCACCCGCGTGCTGCCCTCTAACATCAACAATATCACCCAGAAAGCTGCCATCTAACATCAGCCATATCACCCATTGTGCTGTCATCTAAGATCAGTCATATCACCCGCGTGCTGCCCTCTAACATCAACCATATCACCCAGTGTGCTATCCTCTAACATCAGCCATATCACCCAGTGTGCTGCCATCTAACATCAGCCATATCACCCAGTGTGCTATCCTCTAACATCAGCCATATCACCCAGTGTGCTGCCATCTAACATCAGCCATATCACCCAGTGTGCTGCCCTCTAAAATCAACAATATCACCCAGAAAGCTGCCATCTAACATCAGTCATATCACCCATTGTGCTATCCTCTAACATCATTCATATCACCCGTGTGCTACCCTCTAACATCAGCCATATCACCCAGTGTGCTGCCCTCTAACATAAGCCATACCACCCAATGTGCTGCCATCTAACATCAGTCATATCACCCATTGTGCTACCCTCTAACATCAGCCATACCACCCAGTATCATGCCCTCTAACATCAGCCATATCACCCGTGTGCTGCCCTCTAAGACCAGCCATATCACCCAGTGTGCTGCCATCTAACATCAGTCATATCACCCATTGTGCTACCCTCTAACATCAGCCATATCATCCAGTATCATGCCCTCTAACACCAGCCATATCACCCAGTGTGTTGCCATCTAACATCAGTCATATCACCGAGTGTGCTGTCCTCTAACATCAGTAATGCCACCAAATGTGCTGCCATCTATCACCAGCCATATCACCCAGTGTGTTGTCATATAATTTCAGCCATATCGCCCAGTTTGCTGCCATCTAACATCAGCCATATTATCTAATGTGCTGCTCTCTAACACCGGCAATATACCCAGTGTGCTGCCATCTATCATCAGCCATATCACCCAATGTGCTACCCTCTAACATCAACCATATCACCCAATGTGCTACCCTCTAACATCAGCCATATCACCCAATGTGCTGCCCTCTAACATCAGCCATAGATATCAGTGTGCTACCCTCTAACATCAGCCATATCACCCAGTGTGCTGCCCTCTAACATCAGCCATATCACCCAGTGTGCTGCCCTCTAACATCAGCCATATCACCCAGTGTGCTGCCCTCTAACATCAGCCATATCACCCAATGTGCTACCCTCTAACATCAACCATATCACCCAATGTGCTACCCTCTAACATCAGCCATATCACCCAATGTGCTGCCCTCTAACATCAGCCATAGAAATCAGTGTGCTACCCTCTAACATCAGCCATATCACCCAGTGTGCTGCCCTCTAACATCAGCCATATCACCCAGTGTGCTGCCCTCTAACATCAGCCATATCACCCAGTGTGCTGCCCTCTAACATCAGCCATATCACCCAATGTGCTACCCTCTAACATCAGCCATATCACCCAATGTGCTACCCTCTAACATCAGCCATATCACCCAGTGTGCTGCCCTCTAACATCAGCCATATCATCCAGTATCATGCCCTCTAACATCAGTCATATCACCCAATGTGCTACCCTCTAACATCAGCCATATCGTCCAATATCATGCCCTCTAACACCAGCCATATCACCCAGTGTGTTGCCATCTAACATCAGCTGTATCTCCCAGTGTGTTGCCATCTAACATCAGTCATATCACCGAGTGTGCTGTCCTCTAACATCAGTAATGCCACCAAATGTGCTGCCATCTACATCAATCATATCACCCACTGTGCTACCCTCTAACATCAGCCATATCACCCATTGTGCTATCATCTAAGATCAGTCATATCACCTGGGTGCTGCCCTCTAACATCAACAATATCACCCAGAAAGCTGCCATCTAACTTCAGTCATATCACCCAGTGTGCTACCCTCTAACATCAGTCATATCACCCATTGTGCTGTCATCTAAGATCAGTCATATCACCCGCGTGCTGCCCTCTAACATCAACAATATCACCCAGAAAGCTGCCATCTAACATCAGTCATATCACCCATTGTGCTATCCTCTAACATCAGCCATATCACCCATTGTGCTACCCTCTAACATCAGCCATATCACCATTGTGCTGCCCTCTAACATCAGTCATATCACCCATTGTGCTATCCTCTAACATCAGCCATATCACCCACTGTGCTACCCTCTAACATCAGCCATATCACCCATTGTGCTGCCCTCTAACATCAGTCATATCACCCACTGTGCTACCCTCTAACATCAACCATATCACCCATTGTGCTGCCCTCTAACATCAGCCATATCACCATTGTGCTGCCCTCTAACATCAGTCATATCACCCATTGTGCTATCTTCTAACATCAGCCATATCACCCACTGTGCGACCCTCTAACATCAGTCATATCACCCAGTGTGCTGTCATCTAACATCAGCCATAACACCCAGTGTGATGCCCTCTAACACCAGCCATATCAGCCAGTGTGCTGCCCTCTAACATCAGCCATATCACCCAATGTGCTGCCCTCTAACATCAGCCATAACACCCAGTGTGATGCCATCTAACATCAGCCA